TTAATGTGTGATTACAGTTATAATTAGTAAATTATTAACTGATTTAGTTATAGTACATTTAAATATGTTTGTATAAAATTAATAATAATTTAATATATAATTAGCTCTCTCTCTTTACCGGGGCGGAACGGGGCGAAGAAGTCAAATCCTTATTAAACCAGTTATACCTGTATAATTTTTGAAAATTTCTATTTATAATATAACGTAAAGATCCTAATGATTTATTTTAATCTAAAAAACTTGACTTGTAAAATGAATTGTAAAATAATTGTATAATTAAAAATATTATAATATTTTTGAATAATTAATTTTTGTATTTTATAATACTGTATACTACAATATAATAAATTGCAATGACTACCAAGTCTTGTCAAAATAATATGTTGACTTATTGATGTAATAAACTAAATGTAATTTTAAACATTTTTAAATTGGGTATTTTATTTAATTAAATAATTATTAATTACATTCGAAAATAAAACAAAACTTTTTTGACATAGGTGTATTTGAAAATAACCATAAGGTATGCAATTACAATGATAAACAAGCATATTCCCACAGCAATACTACATTAATTAAGGACTAATACTTATTTTAAATTTTTAGACACATTTACTTATCAAGTATATTTCACCATTAAAAATTTTGACATTTTTAATATAGAAATATTTCTTGACAATATAAGTATATAAATATTATCCGCAATTATGAAATATATTTACAAATTTCAATTTATAAATAATTACATTTAAATTAATCACTACATACGAATCCCTAAATATACACAATTACATTAAAAGGGAAAATATTGTTAAATATTCATCATTCAATAATATTATATAATCTTATAGTTTCAGTTAAATGTTATGTTTTATATACATTTTCATTAAATCAAAACTTTAATTTAAGTATAAATGTCCAGATTTATGCCCCGGAGAAATCAATCTCAAGGCAGACTATCAACCGGGAGACGGGAGACATACCCCAATTCCGGGAGACTCCCGTATAACCGGGAGGTTTGGCAGCCCTAGTGATAAGTGTGTGAACAGTGTGTGTGTGTGTGTGTGAGAGAGAGAGAGAGAGAGAGAGAGAGAGTCCTGTATATTTCGCAAGTGTCAATCAATTTATTGGTTAGGATTATGACATTCACCCATAAATATAATTGAATTGATTTGTTTGGACTCGTTTTTAGTGACCGATAAATACAGGAACGGACGGTTAGCTTTGAATGTCTCAGTGATAGGCATAGACAAGACCTCAAGGGTGGCCTCTGTCGCAGCAGCCGCTTCTGTGCCCTCCTCTGACACTTCAATCACAGCCTTTTGGATCACTTGCGAGATATAAAGATCCGGTGTATGGCTGAGTCCACTGAAGTCAGCGGATTTGGCATCAAAAACGCTTTTAATGCCAATGTGTTGAAGCGGAGGAATCAACTCAAGACTTGATTCCACTTTGAATTTCGGTAAATAGAGCTCCACTTCAATGGTATGCATTGAGGAAACCAATTGATTGAGTGATTTAATGGTCAGTTTGTCTCCAATTTGTTTCAAAGAGTTGTTGACTTCGGGCAGAACCACAACCATCAATGTATCGCTGTTTTCATAACTCAATTCAACGGCTCTGGCATTGAGTTGACGACTGTATCCGAAGGGATACTTCGAGTTATGATACATCATCTGAACGGCAAGACTCTTGTTATCATAAGTGGTAAACACATCCATTTGTGTCCTCTCTTTCTTAAACTGCTTCTTCCAGAGACCCTTAAAATACAAGGCATTCGCCAAAATCATAGCAGTGTTCGACTCAATCTCTCCAAGAATTTTGTCAATCTTTCCATTTGTGGCGCTTTTGATGTCTTCATTGATCACATCAACGGATTTCTGGAGTTTGAAATCCAAAGACTTGGCCATCACTTGGAAGTAGTGAAGCAATAACTGTTGAAATTGTGGCAAAACAGTGAACTCTGTTTGAG